TCAGCCAGGGCTATAGTTTCGCGGGCTGCCGGCCTGGAAAAAGGGCCCCCTCTCAAGCTCACAGATTGTTAGCAGCATTTAGTTCCTTGGGGGCCACCGGGCTGAGGGCCTCGGAGTCTTGCTGGTCTATCCTAGGGTCATCGACTGCAGCGGTGGCCCCCAGACTGCTACACCCACAGCCTAATAGCCAGAACTGTGAATGTGGCCTTATTGGGGAAAAGGGTCTTTGCAGAGAGACCTGGGAAGAGGAGCTGGGTCACCTGTGACTTCTCAGTGCTCCTGTAGGTCAGAAGCCGTGTGCGCTCACTCCTGTGCCAGGTCTGGACGGTTTCCGGCTACAGCCTACAGTGCTGCCCCCAGGAATGTTATCTGGGCCTCCCAGGCTTGGAACCTGCCATCAGCCTGGCCTCCTAGTGGCCGAAGGTCCTTTCCTGAATAGGGAGCTGTCGTCCACATGGAACGTCTGCTCTGGCGAGTTCTTTTCCTCCGTATGCAACAGACTCGCCACTCACACGTCACGGAATGAATAACGATGCTTCGATTGTTTGACCCCCCAGCACCGGCAGTAAATTCGACACTGGAGGCAGGTACAGCCTTTATTTTCAACGTCACAAACCACCTTTCCGCTTCGGTCACGGTGTGAGACGGATACGTTTCCGCGTCTGGCCTCCGGTCCAGGTCGTCGCAAGTGTCCCACGTCTGATCGGGCTCCTCTCGAAGCTTCGTTGGTCTCGCTGCCTTCGGGGACGCGGACCCTTTAACGGCTTCTGTCTCTCTGCTCTCATCCTGCACGGTCGTAGCCGTGGCGGACGGGACGCCCGGCCTGGCGAGCAACACCCGCCGCTGACGCCCTGCCCTCGTGGTCCCGAATCTCTTTTAACACTGTTTCCAGGCCAATCGCTGGACGTGGCCTCCGACTGACACACGGGCGGCGGATCTGGGGGGCGGAGGGGCCGTGACGGACAGAGCGACACAGAGAATCATGCGCAGGAGAAGCGGGATGCGGAGGGGCCCGGGGAGCACGGGGCGCGTGGGGGCCGCCGGCGCCACGAGGCTGCTGACTCGCAGCGAGCTTCAAGTAAAATTCCTTTTTTAAAGTTGAAAGGACACGTTCTGAA